ATTTCTGTGGTTCTGCTCCTGTTCTAGTTGATTGCTTAGTTTGTTTTTGTTTAAGGTGCGGTTGTTCATAATTCTGAGTTTACTGTCATTTTACTATACATGTTTTTTATCTTCTTTTTCTTAGATAAGTCCCTTTAACATTTCATAAAATGAGGGCTTGGTGATGATGAACTCCTTTAACTTGACCTTATCTAAGAAGCACTTTATCTGCCCTTCCATTCTAAATGAAAGCTTTGCTGGATAGAGCAACCTTGGATGGAGGTCCTTGCCTTTCATGACTTGGAATACTTCTTTCCACCCCCTTCTTGCCTGTAAGGTCTCTTTTGGGAAATCAGCTGAGAGTCTGATGGGAACTCCTTTGTAGGTAACTGTCTCCTTTTTTCTTGCTCCTTTTAAGGTCCTCTCCTTCTCTTTAATCTTGAGTAATGTAATTATGATGTGCCTTGGTGTGTTCTTCCTTGGGTCCTACTTCTTTGGGACTCTCTGAGCTTCCTGGTCTTCCTGGAAGTCTATTTCCTTTGCCAGATTGGGGAAGTTCTCCTTCATTATTTTTTCAAATAAGTTTTCAATTTCTTGCTCCTCCTTTTCTTCTTCTGGCACCTCTATGATTCTGATGTCAGAATGTTTAAAGGTGTCCTGGAGGTTCCTAAGCCTCTCCTAATTTTTTGAATTCTTATTTCTTCATTCTTTTCTGGTGGGATGTTTCTTTCTTCCTTCTGGTCCACTTCATTGATGTTAGACCCAGCTTTCATTCCATTACTATTGGTTCCCTGTGCATTTTTTTCATTTCACTTATTGTAGCCTTCATTTCTTCATCTAATTTGTGACCAAATTCAACCAATTCTGTGAGTATCCTGATCACCAGTGCTTTGAACTGTGCATCTGATAGGTTGGCTATCTCTCACTCAAAAGTACTGGCTTTGGGGCTTTCAATTCTGTTTGAGCCATCTATTTTTTTTCCTTTGGTCTGGTTGCTCCTGTTACATATGATGGGTGGAGCCTTAGGTGTTCACCAGGGCAGGGCACCCCACTCACTGGGTTGTGATGCTGTATTTGGGGGCGGGGTCTGAGAGGGAACAATGGCGCTTGCTCCATTCTCTGTCAGACCTCAGTCCCTTCCGCCACTTCCCCCGAGCAAACTGGGCCCCTCTGGTGCCAGTTCCCATGTGGGTGGATTTGTGCACCCTGTGGGTCTTTCCAACGACTTCTCCTATGAGACGGGGGTCTCTCCCTGCACCTCAACTTCCACAGGTGTTTTCAATCAGTGCCCCGAGGCTCTATTTCCCGGTGCTGGGATCCTGGGTTGCGTGAAGTGCCTTGCTTCACAATCGCTGCCTCGCTGGGTCTGCTGATTGCCACCCCTCGGTCGGAGTTTGCCAGCCGCTTGTGCACCCAGGGTCCACCCGCTGCCATCTTACGCGCCTGGTCCCAACGCTCTTTGTGTCTTGAGACCCCTCTCTACCCAGCTGCCCAATTCCGCCCCTCCAACCAGTCTGAATGAATGTGTCTATTTTAACTTCTTGGTTGTCTGACTTCCATACAGTTCAATTTTCTGTCAGTTCTGGTTGTTATTCTGTTTCTAAATTGTTGTCCCTATCTTGGTTGTGTGAGGAGGCACAGTGTGTCTACTTATGCCTCCATCTTGTCTACCTATGTCTCCTTTTCTTTGAGCTCTTAAAAAATGTTATTTCCTTCTTGCCTATGTGTCTTCTAATGACAAATTTTGCCATCATTCAATGTGGTATGGTGTTGTTTCAAGATATTTACTTTGTCTTTAACTTTCAGAGATTTGACTCTGAACAAAAGTATGTCTTGGTGCTGACTTGTCTGGGTTTACCCTGTTTGGATTTGGTTTAGCTTCTTGAATCTGAAGGTTTATGTCTTCTGCCACATTTGGGAAGTTTTCAGTCATTTTTACTTTGAGTTCTTTCTCAGGGTCATCTTTCTTTTTCTAAAATTCTGATAACACAATATGAGAGCTTTTGCTACTGTCCCACAGGTCTCTGAGGTACTGTTCATTTTTTTCCCATCTGTTTTCTCCCTATAATGTACACCTGAGTGGTTTCCATTGTTCCACCACCCAGTTCACAATTTTTTTTCCTCTGTCCCCTTCATTCTGCTGATCTCATCCATCCATTGTTTTTTTTCCCCCTAATTTTAGTTATATTTTTCACTTCTAAAATTTCTATCTGGTTCTTCTTTTGACCTTGTATTTCTTTTGCTGAGACCATTTTTCATGTGTTTCAAGCATGTTCCTAATTATTTGTTGAGGCATTTTTATAATGGTTGTCTAAAAAAATCTTTGTGAGAAAATTCTAACATCTGACATCTTGCTGTTAGCATCTACTGAATAGTTTTTTTCATTCAGTTTGAGATCTTCCTGGTTCTAGGTATGAAGAGTGACTTTACTGAAACCATGACACTTTGGATACTGTTTTATAAGACCCTGGATCTTATTCATACCTATGCTTTACCTGGCTTCTTTTGACACTGTTCCCATAGGGAAATGAGTGTAGAAGAACCTCATCACAGTCAACCTATTGTGAAAGCAGGGCTCAATTTCTTTTTCTGTGATGTTTGTCTGTAGTAGAGCAGTTACTTTCCAAAAGCTTTCTGTCTTGCTAGGCTGTGACTTGCCTAGTCCTTTGGCTACAGAATGAGCTCTTTCTCCCCCTGCACCTGTTAGCCTTTCTAGATTGCCAGTTTCTCTAGCACCCAATCTGAGGTATATGAGGCAAAAAGAAAACCAAAGGGAAATTACTGCTGTGTCTTTTCTCAGGTCCCCAGGTGTCTAGCTGGTCACCTTTCTTCTCTCCATCATTCGGAGTCTTCTTATAATTGTTTTTGATATTATGTTCAGAGTTTTGGACTTAGCAGGAATAGGTGAAAGTAAGTCTAGTCCATCCTCCCAGAAGCAGAAGTCTTTGGTTATTATTTTCATGTTCACCAAGTTCCTAAGTCATGTAAAGAGATTCAGGTTTGCTCTCACCCTTTTTGAGTCACAGAATGGTCTTCTACCTTCTTAAAATACTTTATTATATAATATTTTTAGCTTTTAGGTAAAATCTCATGAATGATTATATTATGTAATGCTTGTCTATGAATCCTTTAAAAATAAAACTTAAAAAATTATTTCTTAAATCACTGGCTTCTGAGAAAAGTAATTTACATGATTAAATAAAATGCTATTCTTTCATGAGTATGGAGAATTCCTGCCTAGATCAAATTTAACCTATTATTTTTATTATTAACCTCAGATACAGAAAGTTTGTAACTCGTGCTGCCAAAATATTAATGTAATAACCAGGTTTCCACCACTATATGAAAGTAAGGTATTCCTATAATTTTTTTCTAAGCTGAAATGGCATAAAGTGAAGGGTATCACCTCTACTTTCTGAAAGTTTGCCTTACACCACTTTACTTTTACCAAAAACCTACACTAGTACAGTAAAAGCAAAGTGGTGTATCACAAACTTTTGAAAGTGGGAGGCACCTGTATTTCATTTAAATGACAACAGAAATGTTACTTGCATAGACATACCTACAATTACTGGTTAAGAGTAAGAAAAATGAACACAAAGGCATTAGAGGCAGAACTAGAAATTGAGGATTACTTTCCAGTAGTCAATGCCTTGTTATCTGACTTCACAATACGGTACTTTATTAAAAGGCAGACAAAATTGTGAACTATACTAATGTATAGTTCACAAAATTAACAACAAAAGTCCACTGTTAATCATCACTAATATGTTTCAGATGCCTTGACACCCCACATGTTGGCCCATATGGATTCAAATACAACATCTATAATAAACAAGTCCCTCTCTGAAGTAGGCAGGTTTACATGTATACTATAAGGTGAAAAACAGATGGAACAGTTTTCTCTCTGGGTTTGCTGTGTGAAGTGAAACGCTGCTCCTGTATGTTATCACATGGAAATTACTGGTAATAACAGTATAGCATGAATTGGTGCCTATAAGAAATGCACTAAGGACAATCACAGAGCATCTCATCAAGTATAGATAAGTATAATATCTCACCTTAGAAAAAATTCTTCAGTGAATACCAATGCTGTTTAACGACTACAGTCAATTTCTGGGTTCAAGGGTTAATTAGAAGACCAAGTATCATTCTTAGTAAATATTTACTCAGTTTACTATGTCACAGGCATAGTGCTATCTGCTGCCTATGACCTCATCCTCTGCTATCCTTAGAATAATGAGATTCTTCAATCATTTGTTTTTTTAGAATCCCTGTCTGCAGTTGCTCTTAAGATTCTTACCCAGAAGGGTGGAATTATAGGATTATTCCGGGCAAGTTACTAATTTTTCAGTTTCATTTGTTTTGTTTTTTTTTTCTTTAAATAAATAGAGTCTAGCAATATATTCACCTTATGGAAGATTAACTTTCTACTCATCTATGTACTGTAATGTTAATGCCATACTCAAACATTTACAGTAAAGAACACGATGTTTTCAGAGAATTTTCAACAGTTAAGTTGATTAATGGAAATAATAGAGATACTGCAAATTTTATCTACTAAAGATGGCAGAATTTCCACGTTTTGTATAATATTACATGGCAGTAATATAAAATACTTATTTCATCAGAAATGGCTATAAATAAGCTACAAAAGTTCAGTGTCTGGAAACATTTCCAAACATCATCCTTTTTATCCTTCTCATGCAACCTAAAGAATATTTTAGGGAAAATGTGTATAAAGATGTGTTAGAGCACTTTGGGTTCAAGAGAAGACTCAATATAATTCAGGAGTGTGATATAAGATGAAGGTTACAAGGCATTTCAAAGGAAAGAATGTTTCCTACTTTATGATATTCAAAGATCACCAGTAATTAAAAAGCTTGTGGAAGATATACCACCAATATTAAAGTATATAATACAAATTATATTAAGAATTATATAAAGAATATATATTAAGAATATAATACAATTCTATTAAGTAAAAAGGTGATAAACATTTAAAAGGGTCTCTCATCTACCTCTTCTACATTTGAAGCCGTCTTAGCAGAAGTTTCCATGAAGATAAGTCCATGTTCTCGTGCAAAAGCTTCACCTTCTTCCTTTTTTACTTCTCTTCTAGATTCTAAATCACTAAACATAGGAAAGAACCATGTTACTCACCAACAGACGACAAATGGAGGCATCTGTAAAAAATATACCAAGAGATTCACAGTGTACTGACCATTCTTCCAGTTAATTTTAAACACATAATAGTCCACTGCCTTATGCTGGGTATTATGAGGGTCAATGTGTTTAGAACACAATGCTTAGTTTCAAAGAACTAACAATCCAACAGAATATTGTGAATTACAGTCCTACAATGCCAAAACTAGGAGAAACCTAATGGGAACATCTAGCCCAATACCTTGCCTCTGAATATTGTGGATTCCCAAAGGAGGAACCATTTTACTCAAAGTAGTAATTTGAGAGGACAGAACTACACTAGTTTCCTCATCCTTCGGTCAGACTAACTTTCTAAGAATGTGATTAAAAAATAAGTCATACAATTCTTAGCAGCTAAAGGAAATTATTTAATAAAATCTAAAGTACTAAAAAATTAGATTATTAATCCAAGTTGGTTTAATTCCCAGTAATAAGAAAAAAGTGTTAATATAAAAAGAGAAACAAAACTGTAAACTACAAATTGTAACAAAAGTGTGATATACTAATTTTTTAAATAAACTTTTAAAAAAGATTTTATTTATTTATTTTTTAGAAAGAGAAGGGAGGGAGAAAGAGAGAGAGAGAAACATCAATGCGGTTGCTGGGGGTCATAGCCTGCAACCCAGGCATGTACCCTGACTGGGAATCGAACCTGGGACACTTTGGTTCACAGCCCAAGCTCAATCCACTGAGCTACACCAGCCAGATATACTCATTTTTATATTGGTAGTGGGGGGCAGTAACAGTCTCCTTCAAGTGTGTTTTGTTGTAAAAATTTTAAACTTTATTATTATAAAATATTATATGCATATAGAATAGGATGGAGAATAAAATAATAGTCATGCAATTCATCTAGCCATGACATGTATTATTTTATCAACTTTATTGGTTTTCTGTTAAGAAATAAGTACTTACACAGCTGAACTGCCTCCTGTGTGCCTGTCTTCCTGATCTCATTCATTCTCATTGTGCTTTTACATTTATATTCATGTTTACAGCCATAAACAAAAGTGGTTTTTTTGCACATTTAAAAATAATTCAGATGTAACTATTGTTCTATAACTTGTTAATTTTAGTCAATATTACGTTTTTCAGATTTATCTACATAATGCCATGTAGATCTAGTTTCTTAATTTTTTCTGCTGTATTATATTCTATTGAACAAATGCAACAATTTTTAATTCTCCATCAACATAGTTATTTACAATTTCATTTAATTCACTTGGCAGATCAGGAAATTGATACACAAAAGGGTTAAGTAAAGCATCCAACTTCACACTCTAGGAAGAGCTGGGAAAGTGATTCCATCCAGACCATGGTGCTATACTGTATCATTAAAACATTTTGTAATGGTTATTTTTCTGACAATTGATTTATTGGAGAACTTTTGTCAAATTAGGAAAAATGCAAAGGAAAAAACTACCCATTCACTTTCCACAAGTAATTAACATCTTGGTGAATATAATTCTGTACTACTGATTTTGTTTTGCCTCATCAGAATATACGCATACCCACTATTCATTATAATTTGCTGTTTTTCATTTACCAAATTGCGGACCATTTTCCCATGTCATTTTGCAGTCTTTTACAATATTATTTTTACTGAGTGCAGAGTAAAAATTGGTTGTATTTCATACAAATCTAAATTACACAAATTAGGAATAATACAAACAAAACAAAAATGTTGAAAGTCTCACCCACCTAACATTAAGTAATACCAATGTTTCCACTTTCCAAAATTCAGAAGGAATTTCAAAACTTCAAAGCTTGTTGCCTGAATAAGCTACCAATTATTTTTACAAAGTTGCCAAATCAGTCATTATCAGTCACTGCTGTTCCTGTGATTGAAACTTCTGTGAGTGATTCGATGATTGTTTTGTAACCTTCACAGTAGTTAGACTTTGGAGATATTTTAATTTATTAAATGCCATGTAAGCATTCATTCAGTGGAACAAGTGTTGAAAACAGACTCCTAAAAACTGAAATGTTGGAAAGAAAGTTTGATATAAAATACTATAAAGGGAGCAGTAAGTATATGCCATGCTGGTAATTTACGTAGCTGGGCTATAAAATATTAGTGTTAAGATGAGAACATAAAAAGCAGGCAAACTAAGTTTGCAAATATTAAAGCATAAGTAGGCAAGGATAATTTATCCAATTATAATCTGACGGCCTCCTGTGGGTCAAACTCCTGCTTGGATGTGGGGACAGACCACTCAACAAAATAGACAAAAGTTCATCCCCTGCCAACCAACTCATGGAGCTTACACTCTAGCAGGAATTAAGGCAGGGGTATGGGGAAATGACCCTGGCCGGTGTGGCTCAGTTGGTTGTAGTGTTGTCATAACCCAAAGGTTTTGGGGTTTGATTCCCAGTCAGGGCACATGCCTAGGTTGCGGGTTCAGTCCCCACTCTGGACACCCCCTCAATATTTCTCTCTTTTCCTTCCTCTCTCTAAATGCAATGAAAAAATGTCCTTGGGTGAGGATAAATAGATAAATAATAAAAAGAGGCGGGATGTGCTCTTGACCCTTTATCCAATTATCATTCTTAAGAGAAAAATCAGCTTTAAATTACACAAAGTCCTCAAGAAAATACTTTTCCCTTAACTACCTGCCATCCCATTTTATACATATGGCATATTTTATTTAAACAATCTCTTACTTGGGGGATAAAGTTATTCCCAGTTTTCCACTACTAGTATCTGATGTGTTTGCAACTTGAAATATTATCTTGGCAGAGGGTTAAGAACTTGGACATTTGAGGGACTGTTCAAAGAAAAGGAAGCAATACTACACTACTCATGATGTTTCTGTTCTTACTCTCCTTTGGTCATTTCCTCAGTTCTCCAGGCATGAAATCATATTGTTGTCTTTGACTTTTCATCTCCATTAACTCTGTTTAAATTGCTTTCACTACTTCAATCTTTCTTTCCTAAATAATTCTCTTACTATGCTCCCCCTTTGGTTTAAGGTTTGTATGATAATTCTTTAAAATATTAAAAACTTTCATCTTTGTAGATTTTGCTTCCTATTTCTTATAAACCAATTTAAAATGCCATAGTAAGAAAAGTCTGTGTTATCTGTCACTCTGACTAGGTCAGCACCCTTCTCCAATCTTTTCACTGGCTCCCTAGTGCTTAATGCATCTAATTCAAAAATTGCTTATTCCCTGTTTCCATGTCTACCCCAATTCACCTCATCTAATAATCACCTCATTCATCTCTGTTCATTCCCATTCATTCTTTGCATGTCATATATTCTCTTTTCCTTTCTTCTAGCTTCTTCCCTAAAATGACTTTCCACAGCTACAATACCCCTAATTATAAGGGTTACCCCATCCACCATCATTAGAAACACCTCTTGTATATACCATACTTTGCTTTTCCTTTTGACATCTGGACTATAAGCTCTACACAGACAGCAACCAAACTGAAGCCACCAGTAGGTTGCCACCCACTATGTTGTAGACACAAGGAAAACACTGGAGATAAAGATATGAAAATTTGATTCCTTCTACAAATATTCTATTATGTCACACATCACCGTCGAATTATAGGATGAATACTTCCATATTACAAAGATTACAACTTCCTTCCAATAGCCTTACTCTTAAATGGTTTAGTGAGGTGATTTAAATGAGGAAAGGATAAGCAAGAAAGCCCTTGAGTAAAAGCCAAAATAATACATACACACCAAGTAATCAAAAGTTAGCCTGTTACAATGAAAGTATTGCTTAAATATTTTCTCTTAACAGCAAACCTAGATTTCTATTAAAATAATACTTCCTAAAATGAAATCTATACAGTATAATGTCATTTACTACCTTACTTTTTTTACAGCATAAGTGACATAAAAGAAACTATACATTTGATAGAAAATCTGATGAATTTGATACATGTGCATATGCCTGTGAAGCCATCCCTAATGTTTCTTCATACTCCATACATCATTTCCTCCCCCTGTACCCCAGGCAACTAATGATCTGCTACTGGCCACTATAGATTAGTCTGCATTTTCTAGTATCTTATATAAATGGGAACACACACTGTCTTTTTGTCTGTTTTTCACTCAGCACAATCATTTTCAGATTCATCTGCTTTGCTGTATATACCAATAGCACATTCCTCTCTATTCCTGAGTGGTATTCACTATATGGCTGTAGCACAATTTATTCATTTACCAGTTAATTAAAATGTGGGTTGTTGCCAGTCTGGGGTCATTACAAATAAAGCTGCTATGAAAACTTGTGTATGATTTTTTTTGTGTGGACATATGAAGCATATTTTTCTTGGGTAAACACCCAGGAGTGAAATGGCTAGGTGGTATGCAAGATGCATATTTACTTTCTAAAGGAACTACCCAATTGCTTTACAAAGTTTTATCATTTTATATCCCCACCACCTGTATGAATGCAATTGCCTCTACATTTTTGTTCATCTTTTTTTTCAGTTCAGCCATTTCACTAAGTGTACAATGGTATATCACTATGGTTTTAATCTGGATTTCACTCATTTTTCATGTGCTTACCTGCCACCTGTATATATTCTTTAGGGAAGTGCTGCTCATTTAAAAAAACTGGGATATTACCTTGGTAGTGTGGCTCAGTGGATTGAGCGCTGGCCTGAGAACCAAAGGGTCACCAGTTTGATGCCCCATCAGAGCATATGCCTGGGTTGTGGGCCAGGTCCCCAGTGGGCGGGCATATGAGAGGCAACCACACACTGATATGTCTCTCCCTCTCTTTTTCCTCCTTTCCCCCCTCTCTAAAAATAAATAAAATCTTTCAAAAAACTCCAAAACTGGGATATCTTTTTAATTAATGAATTGTAAGAATTCTACATTTACTCTAGATTCCAGTCTTTTCTTGGATATATGTTCTGCATATATTTTCTCCTAGTCTGTAGCTTGTCTTTTCATCTTGGAACTGTTGTTTGAAAAGCAGGACTTTAAATTCTGTTGAAGTATAATTGATTGATTATACTTTACCCTCACCCCCCTTAATGTTTTCTTTCTGGGCTATTTAAGAAATATTTGGCAATACTGGAGAAACTAAAATTTTGTTTTCTTCTAGAATTTAAAAAATACTTTTAGCTCTTACATATAGGTCTATGATCCACTTCCAGTAAATTTTCATATATGGTGTAAGGTAAGGGTCAAGGTTCATTTCCTTTGCACATGGCTGTTCAACTGTTCCAACATCATTTGATGAAAAGATTAACCTTTCCCAAACTGAACTACCTTGGCACCTTTGTTAAAAAAATAAATTGACCGTATACATAAGGATGTATCTACTTCTGTACTTCTCACTCCGTTCCCTGATTTATGCTATGTATGCCATTATCAGACTAAACTGATTATAGTATAATAGATCTTGAAATCAGTGTTAGTGAAACCAATGAACCCTCCAATTTTGTATTTTCACATAAATTTTAAAATCAGCTTGTCAATTTCTACCTCCTATCAAAAGTCTGATGAATTTTGATTGGGATTACAATGAATCTTTAAATCAATTTCGGAGGAACTGACATTTTGAAAATATGTAGTTTTTCTACCCATAGACACAGTCTACCTCTCCATTTGTTTAGGTTTTTTTTTTGGGGGGGGGGCAGGGGGGCTTAAGGACTCTAAAGATGAGAAAGATGATTATCTTAGGAAAACCAAGGTATCTATAGCTCAGAGTTCAGAAATCAGTTGTGAAAATAAGTTTTAAAAAATTGTTTAGGGATCATTTATTTTTTATTGAGATCTAACACATATAAGGTGTACAACCTGTTGATTTGACATACCCACACAACACAATACAATTACCAACACAGCATTAGCCAACACCTCCATCATACCACCCAATTATTTCATTCTGCGCCAAGAACACTTAAGATCTAGTCTCTTGGCAACTCTGAGGTATGTAATACAGTATTAGTAACCAAAATCACAATGCTGTGCATTAGGTTCCCAGAATCCATTCACCTTCTAATAACAAGTTTGTATCCTTTGGCCAACATCTCCCCAATCCATTTACTCCATTTACAACATTCTCTTACTATCCCTGTAATGTCTGAAAAATCTATAGTGGTATCGTTCTTTAATTTCTGATATTGGTCATGTGTCTTATTTTTTCCCTGATCTGTATCTATTTTATCTTCTCAAGAACTAACTTTTGGTTTCATTGGTTTTCTTATTACCTCCTTTTTTGCTAACCTTGGGTTTAATGTGCTCTTATCTTTCTAGTTTTAATATTAAACTTAAAGTTTAGGTTACAATTTCAAACTTTTTCTTAATAAAAGTGTTTAGTGCTATAACCCCCCTCTAAGCAATACTTTAACTGCATCCCACAAATTTTCAAAGACTACAGAGACAAAAATTAACTCCTGGAAAATAGACAGTAATGCAAATAACTATGGTCCATAGACATACAGGCTGCACCCCATGGAGTACAATGATCATCCTATGGATACTGTTTGTTTTTGTTATCCATTTGTAATTTCATTTCAGTATTCCTTATGTGACTATAAATATGGTATTCTGAGTTCTCTTTTAAATCTACTGTAATATCTTACTGGTTCCCTCATTAGTTAATGAGATAAATAAAAGCTTTAACATGTGTTCATTATCATATAAGAGTCATGATTTTACCTTTCTAAAAACATTACCTTTTAACACTATTTTATAAACCCAAAGAAAAATTTCTACTAAAACTTACGGTAACTTTCCCACACTCTTGCAAGTTTATAGAAACTATGGGGAAGAACATGTTTTCCCGTGTACTATCTTTTTAAACATAGAGCACAAGGAAATTCACTTCAGATAAAGCTCTGTACAAATGTAAAGTAAAATGAGATTAAAAGACAACATTAATTATGACACCAATATAAAGCCTTAGAATAAATCAGTGGGCTTTATTTTAAATTACTAATCAGGTAAAACTTTCAGATAATTCTTTAAAGTATACATTCCAACAAAAACTATTTGAAATAATAATTTCTAACAAAGTTTACTATCTATCTTTTAAAAACCAAATGAAACACCTTAGGATTTTCAAAATTTTATAATTTAAGAAGCTAGTAACTTATATTTGAACAAATTTATAAAATAAGAACCTTAACAGGTATCACATAAACAGCTATCCAGTCTTCATAATTAATGCAAAAAAAGTTTTAAATTATTTTTACCTCTTATTTCCAATAAGCATAATGACCATGTTGGAATTAGAATGCTGGCGGGCATCTTCTAACCAGGTTGTCAAGTGGTTGAATGTATCTCTCCTAAACATAAACAATAATTTGATTACTATTGTCAAAGGATTTCCCCTAGCAGTGTACAATGAACAGTATGTATTCTATTAAAGATAACTACTTTTAGCCATTGCCACTTATGTAATGAAAACAGATATCAAGTACAGTGTCTGGATTTAGAGTCCACTGATTACAGTTCAATTTAGAAATTATAAGTAATAGCACTGTGTTAAATCCCAATGTATAAATAATATCACCAAACTGATCAACTTGAGGGTACTTGTAGGAAAATAATTTTAATTCAAGATACACAAGCTTTAAAGGGAAATAGCGAGGGCATAAAGGCAAAGGTATATTTTCATTACTAGTACCTGTATTTATTTAGAGAAATTCTCTGCATTGACCACTGAACTGAAAAATTTCTAAGTTCTTACCTTGTAATGTCATATACTAGTAAAGCCCCGGCTGCACCTCTGTAGTATGACCTTGTGATGGAACGAAAGGACTCTTGCCCTGCCTGTAAGGAAAGAAAAGAGTAAGAGTTTCCTTTAATAAACTGTCCTCTTCTTTTCCTTATTATTCATATGCAGAATACGGGCAGGTAGGGAATGAGTGCATAAAGGAAAAGAAGTAAACCTAACTTCACCAACCTCAGGAAAAAGTCACATAATAACCACTATTGCTCAAGTCAACCAGACAACCAGATGCACATACAACCACCCCCCGCCCCAAGACCTCTAAACCTTTTTTGGCAATCCCTGACAACCCAATTTACTGAATGGCTTCACAATACATGAATCATTATTAGAGCACAGAATGGACTCCTAGCAACTAAGCTCTGAAGACAAATTTGAAAGGAAGCAAATAACCCAGAGCCTCACATTTGAATTCAATAACCCACTCCCTGGGGCAGCTGTTGACACTAGAATAAATAAAGTCCATTGTAAATAAATGATGAATGACATCTTTACGCCCACCATCTGCTGGTGTAAAGGTTGTTGGAAGGCCAAGGATGCAGATTTTATCAGTTATATCATAAACTGCAGTGAGCTTTCAACAGTCATCAGATGGAATTCTTTGAGCAATCATTTTATTACGAAAAACAGAAAATGGTTCTGAATTTAATTTGTATAATTTTTCTCCACACTTAATCAATTTTCTCTGTATTTGATATATAATGCTGTCAGAAGGCAACAGGATGTAAAAGTCATCTTTATATCCACTTGTGAAAACAGACTTCATTGATTATGCAAAATCAGTTAATTTCTCTTTTACTGGTGGCACTAATGTTCTGTTTTTTAAAAAAGGCTGGTGAGGGATATGCCTATTGCCTTTAAGTTTGAAACTGAGACAGTTTTTATCGAAAATACTTTTTAATTTTTGATTACTTCTTTTCTATTTTTGAAAAAAAAAAACATGTATATTGAGTAAACATGGTTTCCACAATTTTTGTATTCAAAATCTACTAACTTCTTGAAACATATTCATGTTTGCATGTTCTGAATTGATTTTCCAATGCAAATATTAAGCCTTTCTTACTCTCAGAACACACACACACACACAGAGCTCAGGTTCTGCCGTTCTAACACTCAACCCTCTATACTTCCTTGTTCTTCTCGGTGCTCCCATTACACTCCCTCTTTCCCATGCTCCCACCCTCAGCACCTAGCACGGGGTCTGGCACACAACAGACAGAAAAAGCATGTTGAGTGAAAGAATAAATCCTGGTGTCTTAGTCAAGTACACAAAATGGTCAGTACTGCATCCCACCTAAGTAAGTGGACATCAGTAAATCCTAGCATGCTAAGATTTAGTAAAAATAACTTCTATGTAGAAAATAAGATTAGATCATCTCTTGGTTAACTCCTGAGCAATTCTGGCACTTAAAATAATGTCATGCCAAATTAGATACTGAGAAAGCCACATGTAAAAGGGCCAGAAAAAACAGCCAACTCATTTCACATAGATTGAGGCTAAAACACTAGATGCTACTAGTTGGAGGCATGACATTAATTCAAGTTATGTTAATATAATTCACTGGGATGTATCTTCCAAAACAAGTTTTTCAAATTCAAGTTCAAAATGCAAATATTATGGGAGTTTTTCCCTTAAGTGCTTAACATGGGAAAACTAAGAATTCAATTTTTAAGAGATATGTTTCACTGTGAATTATATAGAAAGAAGTCTGTAATAAATAACACAAAAATAATGTTTTATTAGTTTAAAATAAAAATCAGGTTTAGAGCTCTTGTGTCTGCCATGCCTAAACAATGAGCAAAGTGAAAGTCCTTTAAAACCATCTTGCTGGGACATTCTGTGCAGCACTACAGGGCTAAAACTTCAGTGTTTACAGCCCACATAAGAAATAGTAAAAGGGGAAATATAGGAAAAGGAGAGAAGCACACTTGTACAAGTGTATACCATTCACATTCCTCCCTAATTATTTTACCAAGAACAAACATGTTGCAATATGGAAATAACATACATAATGCTTCACTTTATACTGAGCCCACTGAATCTAGAGTTTGCCTACCATTGCAAAAATCAAACAACCCCCTCCCCCCAAAAAAAACACATTCCAAGTGAGGACTACGAATGTAATTATGCATCTTAAAATCTCTACATAATAAGCAATGATCAGTACACAGAATAGTTATTAAATTCTTGAGAACTGACTTTCAGGAAAAACATCCCACACTCATCTTTTTGTTAACGGTACTGGTAGCCTTGAAATAATCTGCTCAAATAAGTGTTTTAGTATGATTTATCTGACTATAGGTTGTCCAAACTGTGATTGACCTATATTGTTTTAAGTAAAAAAGCAATGTCATCTTATGAAACAGAGATGTATTTTTCATCCTCTGCACTATAGTGTAGGGATAAAGAGATTTTAGAGGACTGAAATGGAAAAGGATATAGAATTCTTTGTAGTAAGGGATTGCAAATATAAGCTAAAGGTGTAAAGAAAAATGCATTTAATGAAATGAAGATGACTGGCTAAGTGAATAGCACCAGAAAAACGTGGTAGCCAGAGTGGACAATATAGCTGTTTATTTCTGTAAAACAGCAGCAAAGGTACGCAGACATCAACCAAGTAGAATAGAACAAATCAGCTTTAAGAGATAATGGGCAAGCTCCATTTTTAGTGATGTCTGGGATTAAAACCAGAGTCACAGAACATAAAAGAAAAAAAAAAAAGCCTTACAGACCTTAATTTTTCATGTAAGGTTTGATAAATCAAATAAACTTGACTCTTTGCCCCATACCTTTAATATTTACTTCTAATTGCCATATAAAGATTTCCCCAAATTGGCTTCCTCATGTGCCTGAGTCAATCTGTTGATAACAACTTTTGTAGTAACTAGGCTGGCAACTTAACTTCTCTCTCTCCTGTTATATCCATAACATACATCTTTATATATATTAAGTTACTGCTTAAAAATCTCTAAATACCCTGAAGCTCTTACGAATTAGTTCTCTATTTGTTTTTTTCAGAATTTATCTTCTTAGTAAGTCTTGTTCATAGAGCTATTCCTTTTGTCTGATATCCTGCCTATATTTTGATTATTCCTGTTTTTATATGTTTACCTTTTTGACTAAAAAACCCCATTTGCTCTTCCCCTCTACCTACCCATTTTCTATTCCCTTTGATAACGTCCTAAATCTCTCACAAAGCCCATAAGCTTGTTCACCACAGCCCACAGTTATCCTTTTCTCCTCTCAAATCCAAAGGCACTTTCATGTGATCATTTACTGTATTTTGCTGTGCAAAATGTGCTCTTGTATATAATGTGCACTAACGTTTTGGGCCCACACCTTCATGAAAAAAAATTTTTTTGTTTTAATTTTTAAATTCAATTATTTATTTACCGGTATATTTAATAAACAAAACCAATGATCATATTCCAAGGTAATAGTTTGCATATGGATATCAATATTGCTATCTAGAGTTACACATTTAACATATAAGCATAAATAAAAGAATTAAAGACATTTGTATAGATACAGAATTAATATTACCCATATAAACTGCACATCCTTATTTTTCCCTCAAAGATTTTGGCAAAAAGTGCGCATTATACATGGCAAGATACGGTAGTTCTAATACTACTGACTAGATAAAACCAACACACTGTTCAAATGCTTATCTTTTTTCCTCTTTAGTTCTTGACGGAGAGCATAACAGAATACTGAAATATATTTATAGCAGGCACTAAAATGTTACCTTGATTGATCCCAAAGAGTCAATAAAATTAGAAAATTAAGATTTGTGAGAATCAATGTTACAGTAATACCTCGAACTTTCATTGTTAGACATTTATCTAATGATTATGGTTATCAAAACCTAGCTGAGAACCAAAACGAAAACAAAAAAAGGGGGGGATTTCTAAGTAGCCAAGTAAGTCGTCCAGTACTCAAGCATGAAATGTCAGGTACTTCACTAAATAGACTAAAAAATCTAGACTAGTGATCAAAAAACTGCTGTCACTGAAGAAATTAAAAATTTCATGCACTGAAATCTACATGCAGGAGAAAGACTTCTGTTCTGGACAACAGTGACACAGTAAGAATCAAAGTGACTTTAGGCTGCCTCAGTGTCTATAGCAAGGATGGAGAAAAAGTTCAACATGGGTCAATATTCTGAGCCATCTAAGAATCTCCTACAGAAACTCAAGCAGATCTTGAGAAAAGCAAGGGCTGTCAAGACTCAGAGGATGGGATTGCCGACATCAGATTCTTTAATGCTGCCACTTAAGAGAAAATAGACCCTAGGTGGGAAGTAAACATGAGTAGAATGCAATGTCTAGGATAGCTTCCTATCCCTGTGGTTGCTCAAGAAAAGGCTGACGAACAGCTACTGAAGAAGGCAAACAGTTGGACCTCCAAAAGCCTCTCAACTCCTGAGGTTGGATGCGTAGGAGCAGACAGGAGTGACGAGGCAGGATTGTTTCCCTGTGCTTGGTTCCAGGCTCTTAACCTAGCCCCACTGAATTCTAGCCATCCATTCTTACTGCTCCACTAATAAATAAAATTGTTCACTTTTGGGAGTGAGGAGTTGGGTATAAACTGACATATTTTATAAAGGGCTGAGAAAAAAAATGCCTGTGATTTGCTAAAAAGATACTTATTTAACATCTATATTTCATATGATTTTTTATAGTTTCACTAACTCTTGATTATCAAAATAGTTGTACATCTAAAATAAAAATATTTCTAGGGAAATTGAGCAGATGTATGGACTTAAAACATCCACATTATGGGGGAGAATGAGATTTATTGGGATATGCTAGGAAGGCAACTGAAAAAGTGACAAAAAGCAAAACAAGAATGAAGAGAAAAAGGAAGTGGGTAAAGGCTAGATGAGGGTCTCAGAGTGAGAATGGACTTCTTATGTCCTTTTGCCAGCAGTTAATGAATAGGGACTGGGTGTAGCTTATGTTTCTTCATTGTCTTACTGTGAGAGACAAAGAATATCACATATTTGACTTCTGATAAAAGAGATAAAGTGGCACAGGG